CTACAGTAATTGCGGAGACAGCCGTGTATTTCATTTTTCTGCTTGGCAGTGGCGCCGGACGTTAGAGAATACCAAGAAACTGGAGACATGCTTTCCCGATCTTTGTCTGTAGCGGACACGTCACTGATCAAGTCTATTGAACAGACAGTATGGTATGTAGATCAGTTTAGCTAAACCGTGCCCACTGTGTCGGATAGGAGTCCAATACCAACTACGAAGCACATGTGGTTAAAAATCAATACTTAGACTGAAAATAGACATTAAACTGAGGCGACAGCCTGTGCAGCTGTAACACATCATTTACCCTCCTTTGCATGTTATGCTGCGCTGAGCAGCTGCACATTGAGCACTCTGCTTTATGCTGCCTCTACCGGCCTTGTTTGTAGACTTAAATATGTGTCTATGTACATGACTAACATTTACAAAGTCTGGTGCATTTCCATATCCGACCAGCGCTGCATACACGCCCATGTACGTGTATTCATTATGCGACGCATCGACCATTACATTTTGGCAGAAGTAAGGTTAGCGCAAACAATGTAGCCATTGATTTGAGTTTCACTGGGGACAATACGCCATGAGAATGTATTAAAGCTGTGCGGGCTCACAATACCTGGTCGATCATAGAAGGCAATAGTGAGGTGATTATTGACACAAAGGGACAGATGAGCGAGGGAAGAACCCGTTCCGCGTAGTGAGGTTCAGTGCTAATGGCAGTGGAAGCAGCCTCAGCACTGCCTCACGTAGCTCTGCTTTTCTTCCGCGAATCCCGTGGCATGAAATTAGTACCTTACTCGACGCCGTCAGCTGGTTTCTGTGACGCACGAATGACTTGAAATTGTCGAAAGTCTGGTGGACATACCTTTGGACAACAACTGGTTTAGTCATCAAGATCATTATTTTCGAATGAAGATGAGAGAAAAGAACAAGATAGGAGCTGCTCACTGTACTTCTCCTGCCAAAATATACTTTCCTGATCTGTTGGATAACTTTTGGGATGAGCACTGAGAACAGTCTTGCGACGATGTCCTTCAGTGTATAAACACACTTGTTATTGTTATCCCATTGGCCCTGCGTTGGTAGGAGTTGACGTGCTCCTTCCAGCACTGGTTCCCAACAACCCAAATTGGTCTGTCCAATTTCGACGGATGTCTGATTTGGGTGTGGCAGATGAGTAAGCAGGAACAAGAGAGTCTTGGACAATACTAGCAGCCTACAGGCAAATGGACCGCTGGAGTTTCCACAGTAAACCTGAGGGAACACTTTCTTTAGGCTACACTTTTCTATTATGTTGCGCGAATGGTAGACAGAAGCATTTAGACTTTGACTTGATGTCAGCACAAGACGAGCATTCTGCCGCGCCACGGGGCTAAGATATTTATTTTCTAAATAGTTCAAGCGGAAGATCCTATACGCAACTACAGTACACCAGGGGTTCTCCTTCCATCTCCTCCTCGATTCAAATATCTTCTGACAGTTTGACAGTTCGTTCCGCAATACTACACGAAGAAGCACCAGCATGTCTTCTCCCACATTAATGATCGAGCAAGTTTTGTTCGCAAGAGTGCGTGCTGGTGACCCATTGGGAATACGACAAACACGCTTGGTCAACTCGTCCGATTGTTGAAGCACTGGTGAAACCAATCTGGTTCTACCGCTGCTGCTGTTGTTGCTGCTGGATTGTTCACGTACAGCTATACTAGACATAAGCAGTCTAAAATTGTATACTGTGGCAAACCTGATCATCCTCTTGTCATTGGCGTAGGTGAAAGGACACTAAAAGATCGTTCCTGGATTAGAAATGCTTGAATTAAGCAAGCATTGGCCTTTCTATGGAGCAGTATGAAGGTGATTTTGCTCTGACTCACCTGGGAAAGAACGACGAGGGAGTTGAAGTATAAGGAAGGCGGCGGTCTGTTCAAATATTTTGTACAGCCGCCATATTCGATTAAAAAGATCTGGCTGTTCATAAATTCAGCTTACATGTTTGAACTGAATATATGCATTCTTGTACGTTTATCGTGTTGCGCTTGAAAACGTTCTTCAGCACGTTACATTTTAATTTTTTAGGAATGGCTAATTTGTGGTGACATTTGAAGAGATGATTTTAATGCTAAAATATGTGCCCTTTATCTTCATGTTTCCTGCCAATGTTAATTTTGGCGTCCACGCTTTATGTGTTTACTGCGTGTGCATGTGTGTGCACAAGTCAGTATCAGCGTGCTGTGAGTACAGTTACTTCTCGCTCCACATATACTGGCATACACAGAGATATAGACAGCAATAGCGACAACACACAAAGTGAAGGGTAGTTGGCCGCAGCCAGATGTGAACCGGATAACGAGTGAGGTATGGAAGCAAGCAAGGACTGAGAACAGAGTGTCTCAGATAGAATAGTCGTGCCAGTGGATAGCAGAAATAGGCCATGATGCAGAACCACTTGGGACCGTCAGATTAATTTTCCTGGACCGAGCCAGCCGGAAAACACCTTCGCGCCGACGGACGCATTTGTGAGGGAAAAAACCGGGTGTATATCCCCAATGGCGATTAGGTATCATGTAGGCATGGCAAGCACATCACGGCAAACAGTGATAAAAAGCACTGATAATATGCACAGAGATAAAGGGTGGGAGGGCAGGGACACTGGTGAGACTCAAAACTGACTGAAGAAGTCAGGAAAAGAAGCGACAACAAAGAACACACCAGATGCCATATTTGCAACTGAAAATATTTCGCGAGAAATCATTTCTCGCCCATCTCGCTGCGCTCGGCCGGCGAGAAATACAACGTATTTGCCACATGATGCACGCTTCAGCTAGATCAATCATCATAATGCATGTATGTGGTTGTATTTGTGAGTATGTGTGTGAGTGTGTATATACGTGTGTGTTCGTGGGTGTGTTTGTGTGTCTATGTGTACGTACCCGAGCAGTTGTGTCTGCTCGGGGTATCATCCATGTCCCGGTATTATGTTTTCATGCATATGTGCTGGGCATATATGTCTAGATACTTGTGTTCACGGGCGGTTTGAGTCTGTGTGTATTTTTGTTTATTTTTATTGTAATTCGCTGTTGAATGTTAGATTCCACTGCTTAGGCGGGGGCGTTAGCCAGCCAAGACAAGAGAAGGGAAACGAAAGAAAAAAGGAAAGAACACAATAATCGGAAGAAAAGGACACATCAGCGGCGTGAAATTTATCGCTATGTTGGCCATCGGAAATAGTGGCGACATAAGCTAGCAAAATAGGAGAGGAAGCCTACAACTTGGCATGACATTTAACAGCGTCTTTGAAGTGTTTAATATCGGATATTGTCTTCATTTCCATATGCAGCTTGAGCCATTTTATTTGCAAGCGTCCTTTACCCTGCCTCGAAATCAATCGAACCTCAATTGCAAATTAAATCTGATTGAATAATTGATTTACCAGTACACTCTCGCTAGCCTAACATCATTCTTTAATCCATTTTTATTCACCACATCATGCACCCCTAAGCTTTTAACTGTGATAATCATGACTTTCCTCCTTCCGCTTGCTAGAGGCGCCGTACGTTAGAGGCTACCAGAAAACTGGAGATAATGTTTTACTGCTCTTTGTCTGTAGTGGACACGTGATTGATCAAGTATACTGCAGAGACTTATCAAATTTGAATATTGCTCTATTTGGAACGTGCATCCTGTGTCAAATAGGAGACACCAAAATGAGAATCACCTTTGCATAACAAAAAAAGGCCGTTGAAGTCACTGCTTCATGACAAGGCGTAGTTACTTGGCCAAGAGGTGGCAAACAAAAGTCTCGTCACCTATACTTGTGTTTCCAGCGGCAGCAGCATGCAATGAACACAGCTACAGCATCCTTTGTACTGAGGAGGGGTGTTCCCCAGCCCTAGACCTGCCAACACTGGGATTCGAAACGGGGCAAAGCGCAAATTTGAGAGCGGTAGAAGTAAGGAGAGGACAAACAATGTAGCAATCGATAGCATTTCACTGCGGGCAATACGGCATAATAATGGATCAAAGCGCAGGATTTCCCTAACTTTCCACCTCACATCTATTCACGATCCCTGTAGCACAATCACTGACTGTTGTGTGCACTGAGGAGTTCTCATAGCTATTTCAATTGAACCTTTTTTTAAACCTCCGCTGTTGTCGCTCTCACTCAGGAGGGTTTTGACTGCAGAGCGTTCAACACTTCAACTACCGTTATTCGGAAGCAACGAAGAGCATAACAGTGCGCTCATTTTCTATGGACACAGGAGAGCGACAGTGCGAGCCAAAATCCAGTTGATTGTGATAAAAATTCATTGGTGTGCATAACAAACGAGTTATGTAACAGAAAAGCATTATAATAATGATGACCTATAACGACAAAAGATTGCCCAGATCAGCAAATTGAAAAGGCAAATCAAATCTGCTATCATTCCGCATTTCATGGGTGTAGACCTCGCCGGTTGGCTGAAGATCGGTGAATGAAAACAAAACTTGGAGTAGGAGGAAATCAGAAAATAACGTTAATGGACTTGCTCGATCGCTGACTTCTGTCATTTGGCACTACCCTCGCGGCATCGAGGATGTTTGTGAACGTAAAATAATTTTAAATTTAGCTTAAAACGACAGATTGTAAAGGGAAGAAGTGTTGTGCTTATTATCACCAAATTCTCACATGATAACATTAACTATTGGCATGATAGGTTTCATCAGATGTGGACGTGACTTGCCTTCACAAGCAGAAGATAATACAAACGGGAATGTCATTGTTGCTTCCAAATAGATGGTGACTGCACCACCAAATTAGAACGCAGAAGATGAAACGAGTTTAGTTGTTACGGACACAAAATTGGAGAAAACTCAACTTGATAAATTTGCGGCTTTGTGCTGTTTTTATCCATACATACTTGGTCTTCTTGTGCTGGAGTTTTGGACATAATTGTCTGGTGGACTTTGCTGCAATCACATTGTAATCGTGGCGACGTGCTAGCCGCGAGTTCTATCAGTGTGAAGGCTCACGGATTGTCTAGCACTAAGTCCACTTTGGACTGGAGAACAGATACAAGCAAGGAGGCAACGATAAACGGCAACCCTGTGGAGGTAATCATTCTGCTCCGCGCATCATTCACAATAACTAGTGCTAATAGCTTCAGCACAGTGGACCGGACCTGTGACTTCGGTCCGCGAAGATCTCGACATGAGGCCAACACTTTTTTTGACTTGCTCACTTGGTTCCTGCGGAGAGAGGAATTCTTTCATTTTCTTGAACAGTGTGTAAACATGGCGTTGTAAAGCAGCTGGCTGTGTAATAAGCGTAAGAAACCTAGTGGGAAAATAAGACGACAGGGACCGGTTCCTGTCCTTGCGTCTTTCTACAACGTTAAACAGTACTACTGGTGTATTTTCCAACAAGACGGGAATGAGTAGCTTTAATAACTTCGAGCTGATAACCTGCAATACAGGCGTCATCTAAATCCCATTTCCCTGCTTCTGCAAGTAGAACACGCGCTGTTTCGAGTTCCGGCTCCCGGCATCCAAAACTAGTCTGGCTCACGTCCATTGAGGTTTGATTTGGTCTCTGAGGATGTGTCGTGAAGAACAAGAGCATCTTGGACACAACTAGTAACTTGCAATCATTGGTGCTACTGGAGTGTCCGCAGTAAAGCTGAGAGGACACTTGCTTCAGGTTGCACTTTTCTATGATGTTTCGAGAATGCTTGACAGTGGCGTTTAGACTTTGACTTGATTTCAGCATATCCACGACCTTATGCAGCTCTGGATTGTTTAGAAGATGCTTCATCATAGCCTGAACGCAAAAAAATTAGGAAGGTTAGTAGACCACATCCGAAATTCCCCTTCCAATACCTCATTGGGTTAAAAATATTTCTACAGCTCTTGATCTCCCTGCGCAGAACTGCGTCAAAGAGAACCAGAATGCTTTCGCCCATCTCCTTGGTGGTGCAAGTCTTGTTTGCAGGAGTGCCCGCGGATGATGGTTGTGAAACGCCGCACAGGCGCTTTGTCAAATTACCGTACTGGCAAATTATGTTGCCGCAGTGAGGCCATGAAGCGTTACATTGGCACATGTTTGCCGCACGCAGGGCGTTACATGCCAAGTCGCACAGGAGCCGTTACACAGGTTTCTATATTGCCGCAGTCCTTTTTTTGCTATTGCCGCATCACTTTTTTGCTATTGCCGCATCATTTTTTTGCTTCTCTGCATCATTTTGAATGAAAAGATCGCCGCACCCCGCCGGACGCGCGTTACGAACTCAACGAAAATTTGTCGCACTAGCCTGGTCGCGCGTTACGCCGCACCCTCCTGCGTTACGCGTTAAGGCCGATTCACAATACAACTTTCTGCGACGCGACACGCGATTTGCGACAGTTGCGACAAGAAATTGCCTGTCGCGAGCTGCCGCAAGCTGTCGCAGGCTGTCGCAAGCTGTCGCAATGCACCTGTCGCAGAAGTTGAAGAAAGTTCAACTTTTGCGACGTGCGACATGCGACATACACAAATGGAGTACAGTTTCGACCCTGGGTGCACGTGCAGTGTACGTGCAGTGCACGTGCATAGTACTTCTTGTGCATGAGGATGTCGCAAACATGAAGAATATTGTGAACCGTGTGTCGCTGTCGCAGCTCGTCGCATGTGTCGCAAGTCGCATGTCGCGTCGCAGAAAGTTGTATTGTGAATCGGCCTTCACGCGGCAACATATATTGCCAGTACGGTATCCGACTGCTGCCACCCCGATGAAGCAGTACTCCTGCTGGTGTTGTTGTTGACACATTGTACACACATGCTGGATATGACAAGTACATATACAGTGATCAGTATAAGCATTGTTTTGTCTGTTAGGCGCAACGATGGTTACGCCTTTTTAGAGGGTACGAATTATCTAAAATGCGAAGCAATCGCCTTTATATGCAAGAACGCGGCAGCGAAATCACTGCGATTGAGCGAGGTTAGTGAGACAAGCTGGTAGCTGGTGACCAGTCTGAGAGACCACTGCATGACCTCGTGTTCTAAGTGGTCTGGTGAAATGACAGCCTTCCCCAGCAACACCTTTCTAGTTTAGAATTGTAATTTTGTTTTAAATTTCGCACAGTGGGCTACTATCATTTCGTTTAGGCTTTGGACAGTAGAAAGCAGCTAGGCACGTGATATTGTAATGATTCTTGACCCGTGGGTAATGCTTCAGCTTGTTTGTCATGTTTCTTGGACGATGGGAGAATAAGTTAATTGATCACGTCGTCTTTACACGAATATTGCCGGAACTGAACAACCTTTTAGCTTGTATAGTAGGTGCTTGTGTGTGTTTTACGTGTTTGTGTGTGTGTGTGTGTTGTACGTGTTTGTGTGTGTTTCTGCGGTGCCGTACTGCAATCGAGCTTTTTACTTGGGTATATGTGTGTTTACATGTGAATTTCCGGTTGTGTTCCGTTTCTACAAACGGAATCTAATTGTAAATTAGCTGCGTTGTTAAATGGTATATACCTGTTGTTGGAACCTTATGTCAAGTTCTCCAGCAATCGCAGATTAGCTTTGTTCTCACGCGCTTGCACGGCGTCAGTGCCGCGAGGTTGTTCTTCTTTGCTACGTTGTGTTGCAATTGTTCACTGAAAAGGTGTCGAGTGAAGGGTCATGCCTAACACTCTGGGCGAGAAAGCTTACAACTTGGCATGACATTTAACATGTTCTTTGAACTGTCTAATATTGGATATTGTTGTTATTTCCATAGGCAGCTTGAGCTATTTTTGGAAGCGTCCTTTACCCTGCCCTCCCCCCCCCCCATTCACTCGGTGCGCAATTACCAAATTTCATCTGATTGAATTAGTGTCTTATCAGTATACTCTCGCTAGTCATACATCATTTTTGTCCACACCATATGATGCACACCGAAGGTAATTACTTCGGAAATCATGACTTTCCTTCCTCTGCCTGCTAGTGGCGCCGTACATTAGAGACTACCAGGAAACTGGAGACACTGCTTTAATGCACTTTGTCTCTAGTGGACCCGTAACTGAGCAAGTATATTGAAGAGACTAGTGCAATAATTATGACGATTGGATGTGCTACCTGTGTCACATAGGAGGCCAACACCAACTGACAATCACCTTTGTCTAAAATATGGCCCTTCAAAGTAACTGCTTCTTGACAATAAGTAGTTACTTGGCCATGTAGTGGCAACCAAAATTCGCGTCACCTGCGTATGTACTTTTAAAGCGTCTCCAGTTGCAGCAGCATATTTATAATTAACACAGTTGCAGCATCATTGTGACAGAAGGGCGCGCGAACCAGAATATTTATTTCAACAAAACTGCTACTTGTCGCTGAGGTCATAGTTTTCGCTTTGTAGAAAAGGAGAAGCCTCAGCTGACTTTTTTCTTAGCCACTGCTGTGCCTGTGCTGTGGTTTGGCTTTACATGTTGTTACGGGCCAGTAAGCAATGATGGGCGTCTCAGTAATATCTATCACAGCGATCTCTGATTTCTTTTGGTTCTGAGGCCAACCAAGTCTGGGCTCGTTCCGTCAGTGTCCAACGACAAGCGAAATCCGAGCTCCTACGTCTTAGGTGCTGGTGAACACTCCTCAGGAAAATACTGCACGATGGCTTGAGAGCGAAGGAGGTACTTCTTGAATTAAAAAATATGAACTCGCGATCTTGCACGAGCCCGCCCCAGGCAAAGCGATGCCGTGACCGTTGGAAACACAATAAGCGCAGGTGACGCTACTTTTATTTGTCACCACTTGGCCTTGTTACTAAAGTCCATTTCAAAAATATTTGCGAGCCTGGCGGTCGCCCGGGGAGTGTGACTTCGACGACATTTAGATAAAAGCAGACGCCTGTGAAAGCTGATAGAATACGGCGTTGACTCCTAAATTCAAGTAATTTTGGCGAACTTGAAATGATGTGCGAGTGTATTCAACAACACGTAGCTACAGCGCAATGACATCCGCGTTCACTCACACCGTTTCAGTGTTTTGTGTGTTCACAACTTCGCATGGCGTGAGCCAGTCAAGTGTCAGCCAGTTCGGCAGGACACGCGAGCTCCAGCAACAAGTCGTTTAGCGCAGCCACCTTCTTTGTCTTGTACCAGCGTGGTCACCAAAACAATGAAAAAATGAGGAAAATGTTTGACTTGAAGATTTGTTGGGATTTGAACTCACAACTTCATGGTCAGAAGACAGCATTCATAACCACAAGGCCAAAAAGGGAATGGATAAATCGTTGGTTTTGAAAAATAAATTGATACTGGCGTCCAGGGCAAATTATAAACAATGGGAAAAGGCCGGAAACTTGGCCGAAATTATAACTCCTTAACCGCTGGTCCAATTGTTCCGAAACCTTCACAGAACAATTTGCCGTGTCCTAACAAGGCCTTTTATGTACTTTGTTGACCAATTTTCCCTTATCTTCATATTTTTTAGGACCAACACCTGATTGTAAATCTTTTTGAAATGGACTGTTTGTGTAACTATGAACTAAAGACCTAGAACTACCAACACTGGGATTCGAAATGGTGCAAAGCGCAAACTTGAGTGCCGCACAAGTAGGAAGAGGACCAACAACGCAGCAATCGATAGTATTTCACTGGGCAGAATACGGCATGAGAATGGATCAAAGCGCAAGATTTCCCACGATTTTGGCCTCGCATCTGTTTACGATCCCTGTAACACAACCATCCTACACTGTGGGTCTATTGTTTTTAGGCGTCTGCCTGTTTTGGTTTCTCCACTAGAAATAACAGAATACTTCTTCGACTGACTGCTATACAGTGAAACGTGTCTAAGACGACCACTCAAGGGACCTTCAAAACGTGGTCTAAGATACCAGGTGGTCTCTTTATCCAGGGTCATTTGACAGGAAAGAGCATCCCTTGCTGCTGGTTTCAGGGTCGTCTAGGACAGGTCGTCGCCTAATCCGAGTGGTCGTCCTGACAGGTGTTACAATTATATTGAGTACTTTTCATAGCTATTTCAATCTACCCTTTCTAGACACAGCTGTTGTCGGTCTCATCCAGGATGGTTTTGACTGCAGATCGTTCTAGACGACAAATAGCATTGATAAGAAGCAATCTAGAGCATACCAGTGTACTCTTTCTCTATGGACAAAGAAGAGCGAGCAGTGAGAATCTACATCCAGTTGTTTGCGATAAACATTCATAGGTGCATATAACAAGGGGATTTTTATAAAAGAAAAGCACAGTAATTACTATCTAGAACGCGAGGAGATTGCCCAGGTCAGATATAGAATAAGCACATCAAATTAGCTGTCATTCGGCATTTCATGGGAGTTGACCTAGCGTGTTGTCTTCAGATGGGAGAAAGCAAATAACACTCTCGGCGTTGTTGTTGTTGTTTATTTATTTTACATCGCATAGCAAACGGGCAGTTCTGCCCAATATTATGAAAGCGATGACAACCAGTAAGAAGAGTCAGAAATGAAGAGAAAATAAATGAAAATAAAAATACGAAAACGGAAGTAGCAATGAGGGGAGGCAGGGTCAAGACGAGCAGAAAAAAATGGATCTCAAATTTACAAGTCGGGTCATCGTGGGATAAATTTAATAGCCTTGTTCGATCACTGAGTTGAGTCAGTTAGCATTGCCTTCGGGGTATCGAGGACGTTTGTGGACGTAACAGAAATGTGAAATTAGCTTGAAACGACAGCTGGCAACAAGAAGATGTGTTGTTATTATTACCGCCAACTCCTCAAATGAGAATAATAACGATTTTTGTTTAGAAGTGATTTACCTTCACAGAGAAGCAGACGATACAAAGGTGGAAATGTCATTGTTGTT